AGTTCTATAAGTATAAGCCTGCTACGGAGGCTAATCAGAAAACAGCCGAAGACCACCAAACCCCACTCTATAAGCCTGCTACGGAGGCTATATATTTTGTACATCTATCTGTAAGTTACACCCAAACACAGACGAAACACAACCGACTTACTTCCTTGTTTTGGCCTTGCCCCTGCTGTCTAAATATTTGTGTCTTCTGACCCAAATAACTCAGGGCCGGCCTACTTTCAGTACCAGGGAGGGGCTGCGTACCAAATCGTTCAAAGATACGAGATTTTTAATGGTAGAATACTAATTTTTTTAGAAGTCTATTAATTTTTCCTGTTAAGAAATATACTACCAGCCCAAAAATGCATTTATCTGCCAAATTATCAAGTTATAGATTACAATAAAGATAAAATACACCCCTTAATCCCAAATGGTTCCTCCCTTCCTCCAACTGAAATTGATACTGCATGGACTAGTCCATTCAATTCAAAGGGATCATAAGAAAAAAAACTACTTTTAGTCCCCCTAAGAATAAAGTAGACCAGTCCATCAGATCATCTAATTCATATCAGGATAGACTTTACCACTGATAATGCAGGGGGGAACAACAACAGTTTGGAGGGACATATAATTACCTAAGTAATATATTAGCTACTTTATAGGACAGGTTTTAACATGTCTAGTTCCAGAGGTTGACCTCACTATGACATCATCAGGGCTCGTCCATAAAAGAAGATTCTGATAGGGGTTGTTTCAAATTGAAACGTAAACGCAGACAATATTTGGCCAATCATATAAAGTTTGTATTTGATGAACTTGGTTTTAAAATACTTTTACACCAACAATACATGCTAGTGGATAGAGGGGCGAAAAATCAGCTCGAAAGATTCTACAACTACAAGTATTACTGCTTAGAAACAAAAGCATCTGAATACTCAAGTTAATAATCTACAATGTTGCCAAATGGCAAGAAAAACTTTGAATAGAAACTAAACTGGCAAATTTAATTTTATGAGTCTAAATCTTTAGATCATATCTATTTTCTGAATACAAATATCAACTAACTACTATGTTTAGCACATACATTAACTTGTTAATAAAAAAATATTGTATAAAGACTACTGTACTGGTAATCATTTACAGTATATTGAAAATCTATTCACAGACTTGAAAAACGTATTTCATAATCGAAATAACTAACGTTGCTATTATATCTATAATCATGCATAGAAATTATGTAGCAATTTTGTGAATATGCAATTGAGGCAAAAATGCAAATCAGCATGATTTTTGAAATTTACAGTTTATTAAAAATCTATTCATCTATGGCATTACACTAAATAAAAAAAAACGTATTTTATAATCTAAATAACTTAACGGTTACATTGCAATTACAACAATGCATAGAAATGCTTAGGAATTTTGTTAACATTATGCAAATGAGGTAAAATGCAAATCAGCATGATTTTTGAAAGCGAACCGCCAGAAACTCAAGTTGTCTCTAAATTTCACGGGTGATTTGGTAATTTAAACAAACCGATCCAAACTGCACACTTTTCACATTAGTAACACAACAGTAGCTGATCGCAAATTATACACAGGTTTCAACTGTAACAGAAAAACTGGAAGTTTTCAGAGAAATTCTGATCATAATAATTTTTGACGTTTACGAACAGAGCAAATCTCTACAAATTTACGATTTGGTTACGTGTACAGTAAAATATAATTTTCTAGAGTTTACGACTTAAAATTGGGGACTAGAAGTCAACTACAACAGCATACTTGTCTCAAAGTTGTGAGAAATTTAAGAATTCCTTGAAACACTTCGATAAAGTCGCTACATGCTGAACTTAAACGAAATTGTTAGGCAGAAAAAAATACGTTTCTGCATCAAACATGTCAAAATGAACAGGCAAATCACCTACTAAAGCAGACAGATCGTTTTCAAGGGATTTTTTCTCGACATAGGGGTTTAATTTCTGTTTAATTTACCAAACAAATACAGTAGAAAGTTTAGGGAAAGTTTAAGGAATCGCGATACACAAAATTTGTCTGTTACGACCTCAACCAAGCAACACCGACGCTACTGAAATATTTGAAAAAATGCCCACGTCATACCCTTTTTTCATCGGGAAAAAAATGCCCAAATTTACAGCGAGAATCCCCGAACTATCCACCGTGGAAACAGAGTAAACAGAGCCGCAGAAATGTTGATTAAAAGTCCCGGGCGAAGACTAGAGTTTACGGAAGGAAACCTCAACAGAGACCGACGCCGACCGAGGAAATTTAATGGGGAGGCGTTACACCAAAAAATGGCACATTTGAATTTGTCACCACTTCTTCCGCTAATAACTCAAAATCTAGTCAACCCAGCGGCATGAAACTCCGTAGGACGATAGAGTATGATGTTGCGAAGATTTCTGTGTAGTTCGCAAAGAGCTACGGTGCGAAATAAGGCGTTAAATAGAGGATAAAGTGAAGGGAGTGACGCGTACTCACCTAAAGATTGTTTACCATTCAGCTGCCATTTCCCGCGTACGTGCCGGGACCCGGATGTAGGCACGCGCATGTCTGAAGGAATGCCACGGTCTAGCAGCGCCGCCTAGCAATCTGTGTACAAACTGTAGTTCAAAATGCCACGGTCTAGCAGCGATCTCTATTAACTCTTGTACAAACTGCAGTCAAAATGTGGCCGTCTAGCATGCAGCCATCCAATGAATTACTATTGCAGGTATAAAAGCTGAGTCCACCACCACAAGAAAGTTCACTGGAAATTTCTCGTTGGAAAAGACACAAAAGTTAATTTTAAAGGTTAATTAAAAAAAGAGTTGACAAAATCATCAGTTGACACCAAGTGAAGGGTAGTAAATATTGGACATTACAGATAAGAAATTCTATCATTCTAAGTCGAATACAAAATGCAGGGTCCCAACATACCAGTTCTTTTGTAAGTCTTGTAACAGTGGGAGGTTTATAGGCGCTACCAACTGACCCAGCCGATGGGTCTAGCCGATTCGGTAGGTTTGTCGGGTTTGAAGCTGGTGCTCGGGTTTGGTCTTGGGTTCGAACCCCGGCCTGGGACCAGGAGTTTCTTTCTATTTCTACTGCTCGCCTCTGTTTCTTACCCTTTGACCCAAGGTAACCCCCTCCGTAAATGCCATAAATGGACTTCTAGGCTATACACACAACTCATGGTAGAAATTGACTGACATTTTGCCCCAGTAGCAACCCACTGTGCCTACAAAGATTATGCATTAAGTATGTGACACATGTAACATGTTACATGGGTATTTGGGTTAGACATACATCTACATTTAGCTGTCTACTGGAATATATCAGACATAACATTACACTTACACTTACAGAAGCGGCTTGGATAAGTTTTGATCGCAAACTAGTAGGAGAATGACTGGTAATTTAGATGTATTACATGTACAAATGTAGTAGCTGTCAATGCTGTAATGTAGACAACACAGCAGCGCCCCCAAGCTGTCCTTGAGAGTACTGCAGTGTATAGCCTCTTGCTAAACAGTGGCGATTTAACCACTACAAGAGTGCTGATGCCACAACTATGGCGAAATACTCTGCAGAAATATCAATGAAATTCCAGCATAGCAAACATGTTACTGAATTTCTCCTCCTAAAGTTATGAATTAATCTTTGTCTGCATATGAATTAGCACTGTATACACAGATGAAAATAAACATCATTTGGATTAGCATCACTTTTTATTGAGTACTGTTGTTAACAACTGTCCAGCAGTTAGTTAAAAAGGCCACATTCAGTCTTCTGTAGGGTTTATGTTTAGCCTCCACATGTACAGCATGCCAAACACTGGGGGTTTTGGGGGTCTTTGGGAGCTTTTATGTGCTATTTTCTGACAACATACACGTAGCCGGCCTGGTTGAATTACTCCCATTTTTAGAACTGGGCTAATCAGAAAACAGCCGAAGACCGCCAAACCCCCAGTTCTATAAGCCTGCTACAGAGGCTAGTTTATGTACACGCTTTAACAATTCAACACAAGTTTATTACATCTGGCATTCCTGTAATACTACCCTTGATACCAAATAACACCATAAAGTTAAACTTCAAGTGCAGCAAGCCCTCCTACCACTATATATCTCCAAGTAGAACCTATGATATCCAATTGTGCAAGGAGTTACTCTCCAAGCAGATCCTAGGGTGGCAAAAGACAGTATCAAATTGGCCAGGCAGTATCCATTGGCAAGGGAGGGTCCAACCAAGGTGTATTGGACCTCTCTCAGAGTCTCTGGCCAATGGATACTGCTTGGCCAATTTCATATTGTCTTTTACCACCCTAGGATCTGCTTGGAGATTACAAGTAGTGGCTAGTGGACACTCCTCTGGCCAAAAGATGCTGTTTTGCCACCGTAGCATCTGCTTGGATTTTTAAACCACTATGTCACATCCAAAAAGTGGCCACAGCAAGCTAACAGTTAAGGATATACATGTTATAGCATAGAAATTCAACCTAGGATAATGTTATAGTCTTCTTGTTGTAATATCATCACTGTTAACGTTTTGTTATGTCATGTACATGTATATAGTTGCCAGCAACTACATGTATTGACTCAATATACCAAACTATACAGTCCTATTTGTATGACAGGGCTCCCTTACTTGCATACGAATAGGATGGTACCCAGGCTAACCAAACCAGGCAGGCTAGTAGGAGTTCATTCATCATTAGAATTATATCATTTTATCATACTGCAAGACAAACAATTTACTTACGAAACTTATTAACAATTACATTTTGTATATGATCTAACATTTAGAATTGTAAGATTTCATTGGAAGAAAGAAAGTATATAGCACATTGTTAAATGTACCAGTCACTATACATAGTCGGAGCAAACTTTAAGATAGTATCAAACCTATAATATCATTGATCATATCTACAATATTATTGACAAGTATCAAATTGAATAATTGAAAATTGTTTACTGTACAAAATTATCCTATCATACACAAAGAATTCTAATCATCTGTACATTCAACTAGGCATTGAAAGTGTCATATAGACCATGATAGTGTTTCAGAGAGTTACATATTATACATGTATAAACTTTGAAGGTAAAATTTCTAGGAAAACAGCCAGAAGATTGATTACAATTTGGTCAATTTCCTTATACATCCCGTATAGAGAGAATGGTCTGAACATACATGTATACACACTGAAAAAAACATTTCATTTAAGCATTTCTTCTCAGAAGGTACAAAATGTATTCCTATAAACTATAATGTGAGAATATACTGGTCAGAACATCAGTTTTAGCACATTATAACCTGTTAGAAAAAGTCATCTGCAAGAAAATAAATTTATGTACAGTAAGTAAAAATAAAACATGATCAGTTTAACTTTTGTATTTGAAGATATACAGTTCATGTTACAAATATTGGCAACAAAAGTTTCCACAGTATATACTGTGCAAGCTGAAAACAAAAACCGATACGAAAATTAGCAATGAAAAAATATGGCTTGAAAATACATTTCTCACTCATTCACTCACTCACTCACTCACTCACACACTCGCTCACTCACTCACTCACTCAGTCACTCACTTACTCACACACTCACTCACTCTCACTTACTCACACCCTCACACACTCACTCACTCACTCACTCACTCACTCACTCACTCACTCACTCACTCACTCACTCACTCACTCACTCACTCACTCACCCACACACTCACTCCAGGAGGGAACACATCTAGGTACACCCCTCAGTAGCAATGGTTTCTTCTATACCTACATGGCAGTGGAGTTGAAAGTAGGACAAGTTCACTTGTTCAGGAGGGGTGGACAGGGTGTCACTTTTTTTCTACAGAAGAATGTCTGGAAGTGACTGGCTTCCCCCTCCCATCTTCTCATACGATATCCCTCCGTCTTTGCTCTCTTTCCTTCCTTCCTTCCCTTCTTTCAAGATCTTATCCAGGATTGGAGTGGACCCTGTCATGTCTTCGTACTGAGTCTTACTGCTTGACCTTTTGCTCAAAGGTCGTGGTGTTTCGTACCCCGTTTCGGTGTCTCCGTTGGCATTGCCGGTAGCAACGCTTTTCATCTCTTCGTACGGCGTTAGAACCTCGTTAACGTCGTTAACATAATCGTTCTCGGCTGCGAACACACTGTCATTGTTGTCTTCGGGTTTGGGCACGTTCTTGTACGATGGTTGTATGTTGTCTATTCCTTCCACACTTACAGCACCGTCGGTGGACGTACCTGTGAAAAGATTAGTTAGTAATGGTTTATTTGTTCATACATGTACATGTACATACATTACAGGTTATGCTAGCATGTCAAACATTTCTGGCAACCCATAGGCTGAATTGGGATGATGACATTTACAGAACAGATAGAGTAAATGTATCGTTCAAAATCAAAAATACTAGAAAAAGAGCAGAATTTAAAATAATAAAGGTAACAGTTCATCACATCATATTTAATAAAGGTAACAGTTCATCACATCATATTTAAAATAGTTAATCTCACATTATATTCAATATTTATTGGTTTGGCTGTTCAACCCTCACATCCAGGGTAGCCCAACTAGTCAGTGGGTATTACAAAGGGCTTGCTCTGCTGACAAGATATGCCAAAACATTACGGCAACGTATCAATCAATAGTTTGTGCTTATAAACCTGCCATTCTCCTGCAGTCTCTAGTGTCACTGACAAAAGGTAGTGGATATTACCTGAAATGCCTGTTTCCAAAATCATATCCAGTTGCTTGAGTAACTGTTTTCTGGCATATCTTATTATATTACCTAGATGTCCAACATATATATTACGGCAACATATAAGGTGGCTTAACAAGCTACAAAACTACTACATGTAGTATTAGACTGAGGTACCTGTCATTCTATCCCTAGAGGGTGTGGCCGCATTGCCAATGTAGTCATACCGTCCAGGTGACGCCGGTACAGGCGGTTCGTCCCCTGCGCAGGTGGCTGGCGTTGTTGCCTTGCTGTAGTCCACGTACGCGTAGATGTGCGATGTTCTGTCTCCTTGAGAGAGAAAGAGAGAGAGAGAGACTGGTTTAGTTGTGCCATACAAGTACATGTACATACAAAAGCCTGTAAGCAGCCATATTTGGCTGAATTGGGAAGGCTTTAAAACACAAAATGCGCTTATAGAACAGCTATTTGATAAAAGTGTGACGTTCTATCACCTTGAGAGGGAGAGAGAGAGAGAGAGAGAGAGAGAGAGACAGACAGAGAGAGAGAGAGAGAGAGAGAGAAAGAGACAGAGAGAGAGAGAGTGGTTTATTTGTGCCATACAAGTACATACATCATCATCATCATCATGCTTCTGGATTACTAGTATACTAATCCGGTGAGGTACACTTGATAAAGTTACTCCAGTATGCCCTATCTCTCATAGCGGACACTAATGCAGTCCCTGCGAGACCAGCGTGTCTCTCTAACATGGACAAAAGTGTAGTATAAGGACGTCCCACTCTACGTCTCCCAGTAGGAAGCCACTGTACTAGTCTACCAGTAAAGGCTGATGAAGTGGATCATTTTTCATCTTTCAATAGCTTAACACAGTACGGCAGAGTAGTGTTCAAGATACCTTCCGATACGATGCTTGTCACGCGAGGCAGCGGTGTTTGCGGATGGACCAGAGGCATGTAGAAGTTCTTATCCGGTGTTGTAGGGAGCGGAGTTGCTGTTGGCAACGCAGGTTCTGAGCTTTGCGCCTTCCTTTTCTTCTTCTTCTCCTTCTTCGCTGCTTCCTTCCGCACGCGTGCGATTTCTTCATAGATGGTGTCGTCATCTTGTACTTGTTTGTTGGAGTCTCTTTTCTTCTCTTCTTTGTCATTTTTGGTGCTTTTTCGGGACAGTTTTTGCCAGAAGGACGGTTGTTTCTTTACTGTGACGGTCGATTGGGTACATGTAGGGGGTATCTCCACATCCTCATACAGGTTTGCTGGCGTAACGTTCTGTTGTTGTGTAGAACTTGTACCTGTGAACAAGAATCAAAATTTATTTTTATGTTTGATTAAAGTCTTCTTTGTGAGACAGTGGAAGATGAAAGTTCCTACTTTTTAATGATGGGGTTTTGTGATGTTAAGAGGAGAGAAAGTTTTATTTTAGTCGGTGTTATCTCCACATCCTCATACAAGTTTGCTGGAGTGGCATTCTGTTATTGTGTACTTGCACCTGTGGACAATGGACATGTTTCTTAATCTATCTGTTGGTTTGGCTGTAGAATAACATACATTGTATGTATTGCAAAAATGCAGCTTAATCTAGGATTCAGTTTGTTTTGCCCATGATTCTGTGGCATCTGTCTCTTTAGTGGTCACCATTTTTATTTTTTGCTTCCCTACAAACCTACCACTGCTTAAGACAGAAAAAAAACACTCCTAACATTTCATGCACTTTAACCCTTACTACATAATGTTGCATGCGATGTGCAATTTAAAAAAAAATGACTTAGTGAGAGAACCAATTGGTTGAATTGGTGAGGCCTAAACTACATTGAATTTCTCTAACAGGTAAGTACCTTTGGCTGCAGCTGCCACCTCTGCAAAGGTCACCTGCCCACCTACAGCACCTGCCATATCAGGTGGAGCACCTGGAACACCTGAAGCACCTGATACAGCTGCCGGCTGGTCGGGTAGCTTCGTGTACTTTCGGGGAGCACCTGATTTCACTGAGAGGCAAAAAAATGTAAGATAAGCAAAAGATCCAATATTCAAATTTCGAACATTCTAATATTACATTGTAATGAGGTCTATCAAATTTTATTCTGTAGACCCTCAGGATAGAAGTAAAGCGTTACATGTAGCAGACCATTGGTTCCAAATTATTTCTAGACCATAGTTTGGACTCTTTCATAACCAAAATTATCTGTGGCTTGGAGTTTGTTGGTGAGGTTGCTTACTAGTCTTTAAATGTTTTAGTTTTTTTTAAAGAAATGCGAGGGTAGAACTGCATGGAGTTAGAACAGAATAGATTCCATGCTACGGTAGTACCCCTAATAGGCTTTTCAGGAGCAAAGTTCTGGAAAGGTCTTGAATGTTTGACACAGGCTTTTTCTATCAGATCTGCTATCAAATTTCAATAACTCAAAGGGCTAGCACATCTACCCATCACGCAACAGGAGAAAAACAACGAAATGGATAGTGAGAGAGTGTACATGTCTGTACATACCCACGACCATGCACTGTCTCTGGGTGAAGCTGTTTTTCCTGTTCTCCTCATTCACAGCCGCACATTCAGCCACCGGCGCCGCAACCATCAATGTCTCAAGCTCCATGGGGTGTCGGCTGGTCTCCCTGTCGGGCAGAAAAATTCTTAGATTAGTTCATTCTTCGGTTTAAATCTTACTACATTTGTACCTTGTGGTCGTTTTTTTAGTGTTATCTATTCTAGAAACCATCCATTTCCAGCTTAGGTCTGTTTTGCAACTGTTACTGCCTTGTTTGAGCTTTCGAAGAGGACCAACGATGGGAGGTGGGTGGGTGGAGATTGGGTTTCAGTTGATTAACAGGGTTGTGAAATCTGAAATTTCCGGTTTCCTTTGTATTACCTTTTATGGAAGCATGCCTTGCCCCTCCTCCTTCACACGGCCAGCATCGTCACCAGTTACCATGGTGACAGCCTTCTGGTCTAGGTCGTTGACCTTGTGTGTTTGGAAGAAAAGGAGTTGCCATATTTGGTTGTTATTACCTTTTATGGAAGCAGGCCTTCCGCCTCCTCCTGCACACGGCCAATGACAGGACCAGGACGATCAGCAGAACTCCCATCGCCACGGCGACGACGATGTAGAACACCAGCACATTGCCATGGGAGACGGAATCAGCCGTGCTGGCAGCCGTCAGAACTGTGGCAATTTCTGGGGAGAAACATTGCAGAAAACTTAGACTAATTTTGATTTAAATTCCTAACTGTCAAATGTTTAGAATAGGGAGTATATACATGTAGTAGACCGAAAAAGACCTGGATGGATTGTGTGAAGAGAGACATTAGAGAGCATGGCCTTGCCGGTGTTAACCCACAGGACAGGGCTGTCTGGAGGTGCAGTGTGAAGATCAGTACTACTAGCCGACTGCTGCCGACCCCTGTGGCAGGGACAACAGCAGCAGTATAATCTAATCCTGGATAGTGAGTGAGTGAGTGAGTGAGTTTCATTCCTCAAGCTTACCGACATCTTGCACATGCAGTCGTCCCTCAGTAAGACATCTGGAGCTGCATAGTTCGTGTTTAGAACTTTTATTCAGCCTGTCACACAACCGGTTTCACCTGTCTGGCTTCTTCAATTGTACAGAGGCTAAATGACACAAGTAACACGAAGTTCTCACTTATATACCAAAAAACTCACCATTTTCACACCTCTCTCCTGTGTACCCCATGGGGCAGTGGCATCTCCCGGTCACATGATCACAGCTGTTGCCATGGTGACAGGCACACTTCTGGGAACACCCGTCGCCATAGTAACCAAATGGACAGGAGACTGTGCAGCTGCATGGAAACAAGTAGAAGAAAAATCAGATTCTACAACTGTCATGGAATTATATTTTACGTCTTTTGAATGCCTTCTGAACTAACATTGTTTAGAGGTAGAACTTTTGATCCAACACAAAAAGTTCTCTCACCTAGAGTTTTCGACCAGTCACTCTGGTCTTCCTCAGTAGACAAGATATCTTTGACCCAGTGTTGACGTCACACTTCAAAGAAGCCACGTGACAAGCTTCACTGGGTCAGTCTACTGAGGAAGACCAGAATGACTGGTGGAAAGCTCTAGGTGAGAGAACTTTTTGCGTTGGACCAAAAGTTTTAACTTTAAATAAACATCCCACCTGTCTCCGGTCCAGCCAGGGTCACACATACACTTCCCGTCTCTGGGTCGACAGACACAGTTGTTGCCAGGACAGTGGTAGCTGAACAGGCAGCCGGGGCCGTAACGTATAAACAAACAAACAAACAAACAAACAAACAAACAAACAAACATCCCACCTCTCTCCAGTCCAGCCAGGGTCACACATACACTTGCCGTCTCTGGGTCGACAGACAGAGTTGTTGCCAGGACAGTGGTAGCTGAACAGGCAGCCGGGGCCGTAACATATAAACAAACAAACAAACATCCCACCTGTCTCCGGTCCAGCCAGGGTCACACATACACTTGCCGTCTCTGGGTCGACAGACAGAGTTGTTCCCAGGACAGTGGCAGCTGAACAGGCAGCCGGGGTCGTAACGTATAAACAAACAAACAAACAAACAAACATCCCACCTGTCTCCGGTCCAGCCAGGGTCACACATACACTTCCCGTCTCTGGGTCGACAGACACAGTTGTTGCCAGGACAGTGGCAGCTGAACAGGCAGCCAGGGCCGTAACGTATAAACAAACAAACAAACAAACAAACAAACATCCCACCTGTCTCCGGTCCAGCCAGGGTCACACATACACTTCCCGTCTCTAGGCCGGCAGACAGAGTTGTTCCCGGGACAGTGGCAGCTGAACAGGCATCCGGGGCCGTAACGACCTTCAGAGCACTCCGACTCACACTGGTTACCATGGTAACCTGCATCGCACCTGACAGAAACAGGACGCAACACAACCGTTCATCATGAAATGTTTGTGGTGCTTTTATTATGTTTACCGAAGGAAAACATATTGTTTTTGCTAAGTTTCTTCCTCCTCCTCTTCTGTTCCAAACACTAACCTTTGACCTGGCCAATGACATGATTTGTTGATGTCTGTCCCCATGGTGACTGGTGTTGGGTTACATAATGTTGCAATTTCATGGTCTGCTCTGCTGCTGTCACCATATACTAGTAGTACAGTAATGTCATCCTCCTTCGCAGGGCTAAAATCCTCCGGTTCCCTTCCGGTTTTAGCCCTGCTATTTACCGCTGACAGTTTGACTTCTGGTGACGTCACCGCCAAACTGCTGTCAGCCAATCAGAGAATTTGCGCACCGAGCTTTGCGCAAAAACCGCAAAGGTCGCTGGGAACCTATTAGCCAATCAGGTTACATGTTGGGACAGGCCAAGATGGCGGCTATTACAGATACTAGAAGTTTCGTGCGAGCCGTGCAAGATTTATTTGGAGTCGAGCGGCTTCGTGAGCATCAGCAGTCGATGCTACGGGCGCTGCTTGATGGCAGAGACGTTTTTCTGAGTGTGCGGACAGGAGGAGGGAAGAGCCTGTGCTATATGGGCTTCCCAGCAGCGGCCAAAGCCCTGGCCAAAGCCGAGACAGAGTTAGGGCAAGCCCCCCGACATCTGATTGGTCTGTGCCAAATAAGGCAAGCTCATGAATTATTTATAAGTGACGTCACCAGAAGTCAAACTGTCAGCGGTAAATAGCAGGGCTAAAACCGGAAGGGAACCGGAGGATTTTAGCCCTGCGAAGGAGGATGAGTAATGTATGTGAATGTGTTTGAGTAAGAATTAACAGAGCAGACCATGTCCGAAGGTAAACATTATGCATTTGCTTTGCAAATGTTACTTCTCTAGTTTATTGCAGTTTTCGAACTGTCAAACTGCGAAGAGGATTGTGTGATGCAATCCGCCATATCGTGTAATTTCATCAGGTATTACGTGTACACCACTTCCTAAATTCCTCCCCATACCACCCACTTACTCCTACCCAGTGCATGCTGGGCCACGTTCAAGCTTGACCTCCCTACCAATCAACTGTCGAAATCACCTCCCATCCACCACACAACCAATACTACAAGGACAAGCTGAGAAACCCACAATCCACACCCAAAATAAAATTTACCCAACAGTGATAACTTACTAGCCTGGGTACCATCCTGGTTAGTTTACGTCCGCTCCCACAGTCACTGGTTGGTGGGAGCGACTGTGGGAGCGGACGTAAACTAACCAGGATGGTACCCAGGCTAATACATGTAACTTACAGGCAGTCCCCAGTAAAGGGGTTGCAGGTTCCGTGTTCTGCACAGTTACACTGTAGCTCACAGTCTAGTCCGGCTGTGCCACCTGGACAGGGCACGTTACAGTGTTCACCTCTCCAACCTGTAGATATCATTATGATAACAATATACACATGTAGTTAATATACAATCATCAATAACATAACAAAATTTGCCCAATTTTGTAATAATGTTGTCTACTACTAGTATTCAGCTTTCACCCTATATTCTGTTAGGTATCAACAAAGAGTAGTGACATCAGATGCTACCTGAAACATCTGACAGTTTTCAAATCCATTCAGTTGCTTGAGTAACTGTTTTTTTTTTGTTTATTTCTGTCATTTTTTATACAGGGTGGCCCATTAAGTGATAATTACACTTCTTTTTAATGGGGTCCTGTTTTACACAATAAAAACACACCAGTCACATACAGACAGTAAAATAGGATTGTGCTTCTCATTACCTGGATGTCTAACCTTTACTGGCCCACTTCTAACTTTCCTCAGCATTTTTTTAATACCAACGTCGTGTGGTGTAGTGGTAGGGCTTTCGGCCCAGCACCCAGGGGCCCTGGGTTCAAATCCACCTACTACATACCCCGATGTTGTGCCCTTGGGAAAGGCACTTAACACATATTTCCTCATACAGCCAGTCTCTGAAAGCTGTCAAAACTTTAGAGTTTGGCGTTAGGAAGAGCATCCAGTGAGTAAAAACCTTGCTTCAAAAAAGACTTGCACAGGCTTGCTGTTGTGCACCTCAGCATGCTGAGGGGCAAAATGACAAGCCCAAACATGCACCTGTGCAAGCACGTCTATAGCCCTGATTCGGGGAATCAATAGACGTTAAACTCGGATAAGAAAAGAAGAAAGAAGAAGAACATAAGCTGTGCCCACCTGCAGTACAGTTACAGAACCCGTCTGTGCCTCGGCAGGTGGCTCCGTGTTCACACCTGCAATCCTCCAGACAGTCCTGTCCATGTTTACCTGCCGGACAGGTGGCCACGCAGCTGTAAACAACAACAACAACAAGGAAATCGTTTAAAGTTAAAACTTTTGATCCAACACAAACAAATGTTCCTACCTAGAGGTTTCAACCAGTCACTTTGGTCTTCTTCAATAGACTGACCCAGTGAGGCTTGTCACATGGCTTCTCTGAAGAACATGCAACTACCAACACAGATGGACTTTCTTCATAGAACAAGCAAATCACTTGATTCCAACAACAATGATAATGATGCATATTGCATATTCATGTCTCATTGGGACTAAATGCATTAATCCAGCTACAGGAGAAAAAAATGAAACAGTGCCATGTTCTACATGTATCTATGCCTGATACCTAGCAGAAAGTAGCCTGAGTGTCAGCCTTGTTAGCTTTCGTCCGCTCCCCAAGATCCGCTCCCACCTTGCCTTGTTGGTGGGGAGCGGACGAAAGCTAACAAGGCTTACACTCAGGCTAAGCAGAAAGAAGAGATCTAAAGCAAATAAAATAAGTGCAAAAGACTTACTTTGCACCCATGTAGCCTGGAGGACACCTGTCTGCACAAGTTGGACCCTGGAGCAGGAATCAAACGCCTGTTGAACTTTGTGAAACATAACTAGAAAAGTAACATTTGCAAAGCAAATGCATAATGTTTACCTTCACATATGGTCTACTCTGTTAATTCTTACTCAAACACATTCATATATATGGTGACAGCAGTCTCCTGGTCAGACAGGAGTCTCCTGCTATAAAATTGCAACATTATGTAACCCAACACCAGTTACCATGGTGACAGACATCAACAAATCAGGTCATTGGCCAGGTCTGACAGAGGTCAGTCTTTGGAAAGGAAGAAGATGAAGAAACTGAGCAAAAACAATATATTTTCCTGCGGTAAACATAATAATTTAAAAGAATTTGATCAGAGCAGACTAACTCTTTTTATACATGAAAGTCTTCAGCAGGCATAATAGCCCAAGAGAAGTGTGATTTCAGTTTCAGAGAGAAAGAAAGAAAGAGAAAAAGAAAAAGTTCCTCACCCTCCACCCATTGGCACAGGTGCAGTAGTTTGCTCCTGTACAGGTCCCGTGTTCCGAGCACTCTGGGTCACAAGTTGCTGTGGGGGTAATAAAGACAGACTTACAAAAGGCAATTCACTATATTAGTAGTATAGTAAGTATTTTTAAAAACATTGAATTCAGTTTGTATTAAATCATGCAAACAATTTTACTTTGAAGTTCATTTGAATGTTATATAGTATATACATGTATTTTATGTATGGTAAGTCAGTCTTAAACAGAAATTGGGATTTAAAGGGGATAGGTAAAGTAAAAGAGGACAATTTGGATGGAACTGTCACTGACAAAAAATTTTTTTAATTGTATAATCATTGTAATGGTGGCCTCACCATAGTGCCCCAATGACCCTCAACAGAATAGTTACTAAAATGCCTATTAGGCCACAGCAAGTAAATTTTATGGATGACATCCGCGCGCGCATTAATTTTCGCCTGATTTTGAAAAAAAAACAACAAGAAATTTTGTTGCCTTCTGACAGTGGTCAACATGCCGGAAATGGGCAAAGATGTCTGTTGCCATGCCGGAAGGTGGATGGCAGATAACTAGGAAGAGAGGAGACAAGAAAAGGCTCTGATTTAATGTTTTGTTTCTTACTTTGATGCAGTGATATGTGATGCTGGCTGTGTATATGTGATGTACCCACTGAATCAAAACCATTTGTAGGAACCTTGTTTTTATCGGCCCGCCTTGTTTTTTTTCGCCCGCTCGCATTAGATTTGGAGTCTGCGGAGGATGTCATCCATAAAATTTACTTGCTGTGGCCTTAGTCGGCTTGTTGATTTATCATACAATGGTGCGTATGCTCAAAGGTGTCATATTTAAATATTAGCCTGGGTAATCATTACAAATTGGATGCCGCCAATGCAGGTTAATATATAACTTGATAAGCAAACATCACGCGATCTACAATTGTACATCATGGTGTTAGAATTGCGCCCCCGGCGTAATTCTGATGAATTGCACCGTGACGTCACCTCCCAGAATGCACCAGGACCTAGAAGCCTGCAAACGGAGACGAGGAGAAAAACAAACATGGCCGCTGCACAAGTACCTGTCTATGAACGGCAGGGCTATGTGGAAAGACCTTTTCGCAATCCAACTGGTGTTGCAGCATCTAATGCTGAAGTTTTTGTAGCAGATCCAACTTCAGGCCATGAGAAAATCACAGTCTTTAACCTGAAGTTACAACCCGTCCATGACTCCTTCGAATTCCCGACAGTCGTGCAGGATGGACGTAAAATAAGACCTGAAGACGTGGCCCTGGACGGGAAGGGGAACCTGTGGGTGGTGGGTACAACTCCTGATAGAACAGCAAATGAGTTTGCTGTGCAGTACACTACTGACGGCAGACGTGTGGGGCAGATTGATCTACCGAAATCAGCTTTGGCCAAAGGGATTGCTGTGGATACAACAAGCAACCACATCCTTGTTACACGAAGTATGTTCCCCAAATTATCGTCAAATTACCCTCCCTCCCCTCCTCCAAGCTTTATTGGAGTGTACAAGGAAGATGGCACACCGGTCCCGGAGAGAAGTGTGCAACAAAGGGAGGGAACCCGGAATAAACAGCAGTATCTCGCTGTGGACAGGAATGGAAACATTCTCGTGTCAGATGAGGCAAAAAACTGCATCTCAGTCTACAACATGCATGGGCCATTTGCTGAGTTAGGAGGTGTGGGAAGTGGTGCAGGTCAGCTGAATGATCCCCGTGGCATCTGTATAGACTGGGCAGGGAACATCATCGTGGCAGACTATGGAAACTCCCGAGTTGTGCTGTTTGACAACAATGGCAATTTCCGCCAAAATCTTGTACTAAACATTAAACCACAGGCAGTCGCTGTAACTGTTGCTGCTGGACAGGTAGAATTGGTGGTGACTTCTCTGCACAACAAAGTCTTCATCTTCGAATTAGGATACTTGTGATAGACTTTTCTAACATTCTAGCATTATATACGCATTGTATTGGTTATGTTTGAATGACCTCCTGCAAATATCCATGCAATGGAAATTTGTTGAAAGAAATAGTTACTGCTTTACATCATTCAGAATATAATTGTAAATCATGATTTTTTCATGGTACTTTTATATTCGCGGTTTTCATGGTTACTTCTGTACCGTAAACTTCGATCCTTTCCGTCAACAAATAATTTGCAGACTTTCTTTCTTCTGCACCTGCTAACACTGTGAACATATAGTTAAGAGAACATGTCCATTTTTCTCGGACCGTAAACTTTTCCTACCATGAACAAGTCTTTTCTTGCGGTCTAGACTAGAATTGAAAGAAACTTCTGAGATTTTGCGTATGTGTAACCTCTTTAGGCCACACCAATTTAATTTGTTGGTTCTCGGATTCGCCTCTTCGTTTTTTTCTGATTTGCAAAAAAAAAAAAAAATTTGATTCTGGTCCTGAATCAACTGAAAAATGCTCATGTTTTGCCCCCCAACAGTTGAGGAAAGTCCTTTTCTTCCTAGTTGTTACAGTTTTCCCATCTATCATTGCAGTGGTTTGATTAAAAGTTCAAAATTCAATGTTTAAATTTTAACCCAGCCTTTTGTGTTGACTTCATGGCTCATTTTGTAGCATTTAAGCCTATAATAGGATGCCTAGACCTGTTTTTATTTTTATTTTTTTTCGCCCTGTCGCTTCATATTTTTTCTGAAAAAATCCGAGAACCAACAAATTAAATTGGTGTGGCCTTATAACCACATGATGGTTTTATGTTTTGCTAAACAAGGATCTAAAATGGAGAACAAATGTTTATAACTTATATAAGGTTGTTGACCTGATTGACTCAGGTAATGTGGGCGACAAAGTTTTTTTCGTTAGGTCTCTGCAGGCAAGGAAGCAGGGGCATGGTTTTGTAGTGGATTTTTTGTAAATGTTGTCTTCAGGTTTTGCAGTGGTGATATTTTGTAGTGTCAGGACAAAGGAGCGTGTAGTGTGTTCTCTGTTTGTCTCCGGAACGATATCGATGGGATAGGGTTTGTTTGTGTGATTTTGCTATTGACCTAAGCTTGAGGTAAGTTTTTTTTTATTAAGCCAGAGTTACATTAATAGGACATTCAGTTATAGAACACTGAGATAGGGTTTGTTATGTGTGCTCTTGCTATTGATATCAATTTGGGGTAACTGTTCTTTTTGGTGTTGAGTTTATGAAATTCAATATGTGCTGAGTTAGTGAATATGCACGGTTGAGTCTGTCACAAAAAGCATCGTGACTATGTCGTAAAATTTCCGTACTCGTGTAATGTGTGTTTCTGTACTCCAACTTACGTATCACACACAGCCTTTGGTTCAAATACCAGCAAAACAACAGTCAAACTGTATACAGCAGCACATCTTTGACATCCTAAGCTTATACATGACCAAGGTATGATCATGTCATCGACCTCTTGTTAGTACTAAGTTAGTAAAGCATTCTATGTAACTAGTTTGGAAAAAGTCTAGTGATTCCTTGGGAATTCTATTTGTACTATTTACACTCATGCCTGTCTGTTTTACTCAGAAGCATTGTATTAATGACTCCTCATTGGAAGACCTAGCCAAGATTTTGTCAGAGTTTACCCCAACAATATCAAATATTAACAACATTCGGTGGGCAGTATTACTTGTACACCTGTGCTCTGTAATTTAGTGCAAACAAAAGACCTATTTTGGCTTGACAACATCTATTAGGTTTTATTGCCTACCTTTCTTTCTTTGTTTTGTTAACAGCAAATAAAATTCTTGGTGATCTGACTTCTTCGCAACTCCTTTGTCTTGTTTATATGACATTGATCAATGAGAATTGACATGTCCCGATTTTCTGGGCAACCTGGCTCATGATCAGAAGATAGTTGTACAACTTACAAGCCCCCTCTACCAAAGACACAGTGAATGACACTAATTTTGATGTGACAGATGCCACATGTATAAGGATGCAAAAGTGAGAGGCTTCAAAATTTACAGTATGGACTTTAAACTTACCAACAAATCCACCAGCCAGTGAACCAAGAAATACTAACCAGCACATTATCCTAGTGATAACAGACACCTTTGAGAGTTTGAATAGATACAGTGACTGCTCTTCGAATCCCTCCTAGCTTCCTTTCTCTCTTAATCTCCAAAAGCACAAGACAGTATCAAATTGGCCAGGCAGTATCCATTCGCCAGAGAGGGTCCATACGTATGCCACCATAACCTTGTCTAGTGCTACTTTCTGTAGCCTGGTAAGCAGACCGCCGTGAGCTCAGCGCTATCCCTTCGGCGTCGAGAGTGTCTGGGCCCGCCAACCAGGCCTTGATTACCGCGCTTCGTGGGGTGGGGGTGGGGGGGTACTTTTAGGTTTCTTCGCTCTAGGGTTGGCGGCAAAAGAAGACCAAGCGTAATACAGGAAGTCAGCGGATACAGGGAAACAGCTGGAGATAGGGCCGTGGTATAACTCGCCTGTGCTTGGTAAAGATCGGGGCAGGAAAATTACCGCCAAGCCGACAAAAGGTTTGGTACCCAGGCTAGACTTTCTGTAGATCCTTGGGTGGCGTATTGGACCCTCTCTGGCGAATGGACACTGCCTGGCCAATTTGATACCCTCTTTTGCCACCCTAGGATCTGCTTAGAGATTATTTCTCTCTGAGCAGCTGCCAAATTTGGCGCGGCTCCAACTCTGCAAAGTTCCCACCACACAGAGAACAGAGTCACTGAACCAGATAATTCAGCTGAGTCAAGCGGCTTGTTCTGCATTCAGGTGAGAGCATACTGGGCCACCAGGGGGCAGGGGTGATAACTAGGGGCACAACTAGCAGTGTGAGGGGATTCGTATATCAGAGGGACATTTTCTGTACATGTGAGGCATAGAATTATCCATTTAAATTCAGTTAATTGCAGATGATTAGGTCTATTTAATCAACATTATTTGTCAAGGAAAACTTTACAAGGGTTGAAGACAATATAATTCATAACATGACAGAAAAACTTTGCAAGCAATGTACACCTTTAAATTGTTTCTGAACTTAATTCGTCAAGTGATATTTATATGTTGCCAAGTGTAACACTTTCAAATTGACTTCAAGATTTGTCCTAGTAATACACACAGTACGATTGACATAATAAATGCACTACTAGCTACCGAAACGCCCATGTTTGGAGAACAAACCACAATGTGAAAATAAGAACTTCTTGAAGTTTCCTTAGAGCAGCGGTGACATCCTGTTGCCACAAGGAGTTTTCAAGTTCCTTTGTTTGAGGAAGAAACCTTTATGTGAAAAGGGAACATCTTGAAGTTTCCTTAAGTGCAGGGGTGATATCCTGTTTTCCCAAGGAGTTTTTAAGTTCCTTAGTTTGTTTGAACTTGAAGAAGAAACCTCTATGTGAAAAAGGAACATCTTGAAGTTTCCTTAAGTGCAGAAATCACATCCTGTTGTCTCACCCCCACATCCCAAAAACTGACCTCACTACAACAACTGACAAATCCCTGATTCCATTGGCTACTCTCCAAGCAGATGAATAGGTCAGTTTACTGTAAACTCATGCCAAAAAACAGTTACTCAAGCAACTGGATATGATTTTGAAAACGTCAGACGTTTCAGCTAGTATCCACTAGCTTTCGTCAGTGACTGAGAGACCAGAGGGGAAAGCAGGTTTATATACACAACCTGTTGATTGATATGCAAATAAAGTGAAGACAAATTTTTGGAAGTCGAAAAACGAACAAAAGTCAGACAAGTCAACTCACTTACTGTAAACTCACTTATAGTTTGCCCAGACTAACAATATTGCAGGACCTTCAGTAATATACGTATACTATAGTTACAGTAAGTGCAAAAATAAAACCATCACAAACATTTCAAGATCTAACTGTTGTATTTTCTGGTACTATGTGGGTTTTTCTGCCTTGACTTACATGGCCAAGTGTAGACTCCCTCATATCTCTCTCGTTCTATGGATGCTTGCTACACACAAACCATGGAAGAGAGATTATACCAAGGCTAAAATGACCAACAAAATCACCCCCACTGATCTCCTTGAAGACTAGGAGTTGGACCTGGTCCAGACCCCATGACAGTCAGGAGTGGGGACTGAAGTGGATGGAATGAGTCATTTCCACTGTCCAGGACCAGCTGGGAAAACGGCTATCTCTAGTCTAGATCTGCAGAGATGGTAGCCTCTGCCAGGCTTCAGGAGGCAGCTGGGAAGAGTAGAAATTGTCCAAATAGAGAGATAACATGCCAGGGTATGGTCTGCTAGAGAGTAACAGTTTTCCAGACCTGAACTGTACTCTCTAGTGGACTGAATCCCCTGGCATGTTACCTCTCTATTTCTCTATTTCATTTGGCCAATTTCTACTCTTTCCAGCCGCTCCCGAAGCCTGGTAGAGACTACTGAGATGGTTATCTTTGGTATGGCTGGTTGGCTGGTTAGTTATTGGTTTGTTATTGGTTTGTTGGTTGGTTGTTCTGTGAGTTGTTTGGTGGGTACAAAGATAAGGATGACTTAAACTGTGTTAAAGGCTTATCCATGGCCATGAGCATGACTTTTGTATAGCACAGGTGTGTTAAATACAGGTGTGATATGTATAGCACAGGTGTGTTACTTACGTGTAGGACAGATGTCTCCGTCCTGTAGCCAGCCTGGACAGCACCTGTACACCTGTCTGTACCTGGTCAGGTGTGTGTGAGTAGGACAGGTGTGTTACAGGTGTGTTAAAGGTGTGTTACAGGTGTAATACTTACGTGTAGGACAGACGTCTCCGTCCTGTAGCCAGCCTGGACAGCACCTGTACACCTGTCTGTACCTGGTCAGGTAACCAACTCTGTACATGGTGAAGTAAACGGTCCTGTAAGGGGAGAAATATTTAGTTAGTAGTAGCAGTAGCAGTACCGGTAGTAGTAGTAGTAGAAGAAGTAATAGTAGAAGTAGCAGTAGTAGTAGTAGAAGTAGTAGTAGTAGTAGTAGAAGTAGTAGTAGTAGTAGTAGTAGTAGTAGTAGTAGTTAAGTAGTAGGGGTAGCAGCAGTAGTAGTAGTAGTAGTAGTAGTAGTAGTAGTAGTAGTAGTAGTAACGTTAGTAGTAGTAGTAGCAGTAGTAGTAGCAGCAGCAGTAGTAGTAGTAGTAGTAGTAGTAGTAGTAGTAGCAGCAGCAGTAGTAGTAGTAGTAGTAGTAGTAGTAGTAGTAGTAGCAGTAGTAGTAGCAGCAGCAGTAGTAGTAGTAGTAGTAGTAGTAGTAGTAGTAGTAGTAGTAGTAATAGCAGTAGTAATAGTAGTAAACTATAATACATTTGTAGTAGTAGTAGTAGTAGTTGTTGTAGTTATGTAGTAGTAGTAGTTGTTGTAGTAGTAGTAGTAGTAGTAGACTGGTTTATTCCCACATTTCATTCATATGTACATGTCTGAACATCATGGTGGCCAATGCTATAGGGCTGAATTAATATTGTAGACTTTTCTTAAAACACTTCAAACACTTTTCATATGCTCTACACTAGACTGTGAACTCAAAACACATAATATACATGTAGTTAAAACAGTAATAAAAGTCCCACAGACAAGACAGTTTTAACCACTTCCTTTCTCCCCTCCTTCCTACCCAGACATACACCAACCCAACCCACACCTTTCCTTCCATTTAGACTGTAGGAAGACAGAGGATGTCTCTTTCTCCACACCCACTACATTACATTTAATTATCTGATCATGCAGACTGTATTTGAGTATGAGAGAGTCACTTGATAGAATACTCAGTCTGGTAACTATCTAAACTATCACAAAATGACAAGGAACATAATTCATAATGTACATGTACTGTTTAAAATATATATATATATATATATATATATACATATATATATATGTATAAAACTGTTAACAAGTAATGTACATTTGTTTGTACAAAAATAAATGATTGCAAACTGATGAGGTAAACTTTTCACTCTCATGTAAGCTTTAAAAGCTTGACAAAAAGATTGAAAGCTTATAATAATCATCATTAAAAGACTACACATATTCAGTGCTATTATATATCATATTTGTTGTGAATACCACAGGACTAATGTTTTAGCTGACTCCGTAGAGCACAGTAACTAAGACTGACAGGTCTATGTGTGAATGTAGGTCAGAGAAGACAGACAGATGTGGATGTGTCACCCAGTGATGGTACAGCACTCTCCTGATCCAACCACTGACATCAGGGGGGCAACTCTGACACCAAACATGCCAACATCTCGCCTCACTGTCTCCTGTGTGTTTGTGCTAACTGATCATGAAGGCCAGTAGAATTTACATGCTTGTTTCTTCAGATTTCTATAACTCAATAGCTTGAAAAAGATTCAGATCCACAAAATACTAAATACTAAAATAACTTTTCACTGATCACAAGAAAAATTCTTAAGCTTCTGACGCTAGTAGCAATAAGTTATGCACCATTCATTCATTCATTCATTCATTCATTCATTCATTCATTCATTCATTCATTCATTCATTCATTCATTCATTCATTCATTCATTCATTCATTCATTCATTCATTCATTCATTCATTCATTCATCCATCCATCCATCCATCCATCCTTCCATCCTGTAGCCTGGAGCTAAACTGTTATAACTGACTGAAGAAACAAGATACTAGTATATATAACAATCCTATGTCATTATTCATCCATCCATGCTTCCTTCCTTCCCTCTCTGCCTCCATTACCATAGGGAAGTAAGATGTAAGTTTCACAAGTACACAACTGTACTTAGTATGTATGTGTATGTCAGACAGAAAGAATTGTAGCCTGGAGCTAAACTGTTATCACAGGTTTGCGAAAGCTGCTGATGTACAAATAAGGTCAGATGAGCTTCTGACTTCTGTGTTTCCCCTTCTGTAAACTCAACTGACAGGAAATGTACAACTAATTAGTTTTCATCTGAGCCTTCAGGGCTTTGGTGGCCCCTTCCTAATCTCCAAGCAGATCTTAGGGTGGCAAAAGACAGCCAGGCAGTATCAATTTGGCCTATGGAACCCTCTCTGGCCAATGGATACTGCCCCGCCAATATGATACTGTCTTTTGCCACCCTAAGGTACTGTCTTGCTTCTTGCAGCCACCAAAAGATCTTCTTGGAGACTACGCCAAAAAACAGTTACTCAAGCAACTGGATATGATTTTGAAAACGTCAGACGTTTCAGCTAGTATCCACTAGCTTTCGTCAGTGACTGAGAGACCAGAGGGGAAAGCAGGTTTATAAGTACAACCTGTTGATTGATATGCAAATAAAGTGAAGACAAATTTTTGGAAGTCGAAAAAGGAACAAAAGTCAGACAAGTCAAGACAAAATGATGCAAATTAGTCTGAAAGCTCCTGTTATACAGAACAGGAGCTTAAGTGTTGTCTGTCCTCGGGGCTGGGAGTGCCAAATCCCAAGTGCCGGAAAGATCGACTCGTAGCCCCCCTTCCCTCGTTGAGGGTGGGGTTGTACATTCTTTCATATATTGCCTCTTTAACACCCCGTTCCCACCAGCGTGTTTCGCGGTCTAAGATATCCGTGGACTCGAGTTTGAAAGAGTGACCCTGGTTGTGTTGTAGGTGGTGGAAAATAGCTGAGGAGTAGCCGTTGGCACTAGGTCGGCAATGTTCTTTGTACCTTACTTTAAGCGGTCGACTTGTCTCTCCGATGTAGGTGTTGTTACAATTGGGCTCCTCACATTTGAGTCTGTAAATACATTCGCCTTGGTACCTTTGTGAGGTCGGTCCTTAGGGTGTACCAGTCTTTGTCTGAGGGTTGAGTGAGGTTTGAAGTTAGTGGCTATGTTGAAGTTTTTGGAAGATCCGTCGGAGTTTCTCAGATACTCCTTGGACATACGGAATAGTGATGTTGGCCTTGTTTTTGTTGGTCAATGGTTTGCACTTCTGGGTTTTCTTAGACTGATCTGAAGGTTTGAGCGCTTTGTTGAAAGTCCAGTTTTGGTAGCCACACTTAGCCAGGGCACCTCGGAGGTGTCTATGTTCGTCCGTTTTGGCTTGGTCTGAAGTGACAATGTTGTCTGCACGATGGAAGAGAGTTTTGATCACTGCTAGTTTGTGTTCCAAAGGGTGGTGGGAATCACTTTGGTATGAAACATGAACAACACTTAAGCTCCTGTTCTGTATAACAGGAGCTTTCAGACTAATTTGCATCATTTTGTCTTGACTTGTCTGACTTTTGTTCCTTTTTCGACTTCCAAAAATTTGTCTTCACTTTATTTGCATATCAATCAACAGGTTGTACTTATAAACCTGCTTTCCCCTCTGGTCTCTCAGTCACTGACGAAAGCTAGTGGATACTAGCTGAAACGTCTGACGTTTTCAAAATCATATCCAGTTGCTTGAGTAACTGTTTTTTGGCGTATCGTATTACCTGGATGTCTAACCTTCATCGACGTATCTTGGAGACTACTTTGGTTGTAGCTTGGATGAGTATTTAGCCTGGATGCCATCCTCCATAGTTTCCGCCGGCTCCCTAAATTGTCACTGTTCACAGAGCAGTTTGCTGTTGTTCATGTTTCATACCTTACCTTTTTTTCTGTTCTTCCCTTCCTAAGTTTGTATACTTACTTGGTTTTACACCTGACGAATGGTAGACACCCCCAGTCCCATGTACGAGTCTGTCTGGTCATCTGTGAAGTGGTGATGTGGGTACCTGTGTAGCTGTGGATGGGGAAATACATGTAACAGGCAATGTCAGTAACATTATATATTCTTCCATCTCTGTTGTACATTTGTTCTGCATAACTTTACAGTAGTTATAACACCCCAGTTTAAGCTGTGAGGTGGTGGGTATACGTACCTGTGTAGCTGTGGATGTAGGGATATAACAGGAGACATAATTGATAGTTTAATAAACTATGTACCATATATAGTACTGTAACATATATACGATGTTCATGTACACGCACAAGTCCGTCTGGTCATCTGTGAGGTGGTGATGTGGGTACCTGTGTAGCTGTGGATGGGGAACATCAGTATCTGATACTGTATAAAATATCTTTATGATGTTATGATGTTCATATTACAATACGTAGGTATATTTCAACCTACAAGTACAAGCAGTGGTACCAGGTGTGTTGAGAATAAACCATTTTTGATTGATTGATTGACTATGACTATTGTCAATGACTACGACTATGGTCAATGACTATTGTCAAGTTTGTCTGTTTCACATTATTATAAACCAAAACCGTCTTTAGGTACAAGTAGAACCCATGTACACATGTACATAAGCTGCCTAAGATTGGACTGTAAGGTTGGAACAACTCATACAAGGCCTCCAAGGATTTCCCTGACAAATTTTCTGAACTGTTAGGAAAGAAATTGAACAGCTTTATCATTTGGTCAAAACCTATGAGCTAGCATTTCTATATTCAAAACGACTGCTTTTCATGGTAACCTAGTTTCAGGACATAAAACTCTCAGAATTTTAACTTAGGGAATGTCACCTCACCTGTCTAGCACTAAGTAAGGTATTCCATAATGATTAATGACCTTAAGAAAACACGTCCCAGACAAGAGGCATCCTGCTCTGAACTTGACCTCTAAGGTTATCAGTGGTTCCAGGCCGTACCAAGGTCATGAGCTTTCTGTACAAACTTAGTCTGGAATTCAGCCGTTGTGAAGGCTCTAGCCGTCAGTGCCTCTTCAAAACGCACACAGCTTTGATAGCCTGGATCCTAGACTGTTTCCTGGGCCTAAACTGACCAGCTCCCCTGGCATGTATACATGTATCTGTATATTACTAGTATTAGGCTAGTCTCTACCAGACTAACTATGCTGGCTACATATATCCTAGTAGGAGAATATTTGCCAGGGGAGTTTGGCCGCCTTGTAGGTTTGACTGGCCATGCAGGAGGGAAAGAAACTACCTCCCCGCAGCCGGACTGCTCTGGCCAATTCTACTCTCCTTTTGTCGAATTCTATGATCCGTATTCCTGTAAAAAGGCCTAGTGGAGGCTAGTATAAGGCCAATTTCTCTCCAGCCGCTTCTGAAGCCTGTTAGAGGCTACGAACAGCTGGTGACCACAAGTTTCCTGTCTCTGTGTTTAGAAACCCTGTGGATGTCAACATTAGGCCACACCAATTTAATTTGTTGGTTCTCGGATTTAAAAAAAAAAAATGAAGCGACGGGGCGAAAAAAATAAATAAAAACAGGTCTAGGCATCCTATTATAGGCTTAAATGCTACAAAATGAGCCATGAAGTCAACACAAAAGGCTGGGTTAAAATTTAAACATTGAATTTTGAACTTTTAATCAAACCACTGCAATGATAGATGGGAAAACTGTAACAAATAGGAAGAAAAGGACTTTCCCCACCTTTTGGGGGTCAAAACATGAGCATTTTTCAGTTGATTCAGGACCAGAATCATTTTTTTTTTTTTTGTCAAATCAGAAAAAAACGAAGAGGCGAATCCGGGAACCAACAAATTAAATTGGTGTGGCCTTACCCCAGCACTTCCCAAAAACCAACAAAAGTGCTTTTTCACTGTGACACTGCTAGTAATGACTCCAGCTCAGGAAATGATGGGAAGAAAGTCAGCCAGGGAGATTAGAATGATAGATCATCGAATTGTTATCCTATCAATCTCAATTTGATGAATTTCTATAGAATTCTTTTCCGTCCATATACTAAGAAAAGGACTAAGAAAAGGAGACTGAAAATCACCTACCGGTAATATGTACTCTCCAAGCAGAGGTTGATGGGGAAGATCGTTTGCTTTTTGTACATGGCCCTTTTTTTGTCAATACCCCCACCGTAGCGAAAAAGGGCCATACAAAAACAAATGATCTTCCCCCATCAACCTCTGCTTGGAAAGTACCAAAATGTTCACTGTGGTTTGCATTTTTTGCATTCAGCTCTCTATTACAAATTCATGACACCACAAATACTAGTATGTCTTTCAAATATATAATACTAGTCTGCAACAATGCAGAATGAAATGTATGTTTCAACCACAAAATGTCTTTGAACTACTGTGAGATAAAATCACTGCAAAAGAAAACAACCTCTAGCTTTGCCAATTTCCATCCACAATAAGAACACAATCCTCACCATGGTAACCAAATCTCCATGGTGACGACAGTGCGCCAAGGAATGCCAAACAACAAACACTCATCAGCAAGTCTGACTTGCAAAGAACTTGGGTCAACTGTGCAGAAATCCTCCCACCCTGGTTGTTACATGGTTCATTTCAGATTAATTGGGCATCACTGGTACTGACTACTGAGAAAGAACTTGCATCATTTTTAGTTAGCCTAAAAACCTAGCCTCTACCAGGCTTCGGGAGGCCGCCCGAAAGAGTAGAAATTGGGCAAATAGAGAGATAACATGCCGGGGGAGTTGGTCCACTAGAGAGTACAGTTTTCTGCTCAACTATACTATAGCAGACTAACTCCACTGGCATGTTATCTTTCTATTTGACCAATTTCTACTCTTTCCAGTCGCCTCCCGAAGCCTGGTAGACACTATTAAAAACACTTCAAGAACATACTACCTGATACTGAACCATAATCTGTTGCTATATGGCTCAGTAACAACCTCTAAGAGTTTGGTCAACACACAAATATTTACTGTGCAAACAAACAGTGGATTCTCTTGTTTACATATGATGCACAATATAGGAGAGCTGTAAAAGGGTAAGACAGTTCATCTTTTAGCATATTTAGAAAATATATATACATTTAGGTATCCTTGTTGGATAATAACAAAATATCAATATATAATACACATCTGTTGAGGCCCTGTCCAGAGTATCAGATACAATTTTACTTTTTTAGAAACCCCCTTTCCAACCCCACAACTTCATATTATGATTCACTGCACTCTAGATTCGATTGACCTCATTTTTATTCTGTAATTAGCTTTCTTTATCCCCGACCTAGATGCCTTATCACAACATTTGATACTGTACTCCACTAGATTAACAACATGGGCTGAAAAATAATGAAATAAAGCCAAATCAAGGAATAATTTGCCTGAAGAATTAGGCCATGATAAGGTTTCATTTGCCTATACTGTTCTCAGGGGTTTTAATGTGGACATGTACAAACTCACTACCAGTAGTCTCCACCAGACTACTTTGCAGGCTGAATAAACAGTAGAAATCTGCCTAAAATGCCTCTATGCAGGCAAACTGGACCCTCTATGGCTGGCCAACTCTCCTGGCCAGCTACATTCTTTTAAGGCCTATTTCTACTGTTTAATATTTCAGCCTGCAAAAGAGTCTGGTGGAGACTAAGAAATCATGATCACACCTTTGGCCCTGTTTTGGAAGCCTCCATATTCGTCCATAGCCTGCAAAAACTGTGGGGGGGGGGGGTCTTCAGGGTCTTTGGGAGCTTTCATGTGCTATTTTCTGATTGCATATAGACAGCATAGCCGGTCTGGTTGAATGACCAACTGAGCTAATCAGAAAACAGCCGAAGACCACCAACCCACAGTTCTATAAGCCTGCTACGGAGGCTAATCAGAAAACAGCCGAAGACCACCAAACCCCCAGTTCTATAAGCCTGCTACGGAGGCTAATCAGAAAACAGCCGAAGACCACCAAACCCCCAGTTCTATAAGCCTGCTACGGAGGCTACTATTTTGGCCAATTTCTACGATCCATAACACCTTAGGAAGGCGTTGAGGTGCATAAACTAGCGTTATGGCCGGTAAGACCCAGAAACGTGTGAAATTCCTGTCCGCCAGTACTCTGTAATTGTTCCACGCTAAAATCAACAAACGTTGCCTACTTACGAATGAATGGGATATATGGGGGCGTAGTCTTTGGTTTCGCACGACAAACACTAAAACCTTTCATACATTAGCCTCCATAGCATGCCAAAAACTGGGGGTTTGGGGGGTCTTCATGGTCTTTGGGAGCTTTTATGTGGTATTTTCTGATTGCATATAGACAACATAGCCGGCCTGGTTGTTGTTAGAGCCGAAGACCACCAAACCCACAGTTCTATAAGCCTGCTACAGAGGCTATCATACATTGTCAACGACGAAACTTGTACCAGTTTCAGTAGCACATGTTTTCCTATGATACCCTCGGTTTTTACGCAGATCTACCGAAAAAATCAATATTTCTGCGGTGGATTATATGCATGTACTCGAACAGCGAGTGAGTCAGGTATTTAAATCGCCAGGGTCAAACTACCCATGAATATTTTTCTTCGTACAGTCATCGGTTTACTTTTGTGGTTTACGGAAAGGAATTATACAGTTTACCACCAGTTGGTATATACAAACAATATTATCAGCAATTCCCTTGTTTATCAACATATAAAATCTCGTGGCCAAACCGACAAATTTACTCCGTCTGTTTTGGATCAAATTTCAAGGAAGCCTTGCAAGCTTGGAGTTTTTTTTATTCCAGTACGGGGCATCTAGATTCCAGCTTTAAGTCTTGAAAACTAAAACTGAAAACCTGAATTGTTCAGAATCAAGAGAAGTTGTTGAAAATCACGTGATACGCCACACAAACACAGCTCAAGCCTTTACAAAAGAAAACAAATTACAATTCTGGCCCCCAAAGTTAGACACCCTATAGCTTGGGGCAAGGACACTTCACAACAAAAACCTCACCAAATCTGTCGATTAAATCTTACCTTTCGCTGTACGCACAGACGTTTATTCCATGTGGATGCAACTCCTGTGCCGCTGATAACTTCCCCCAGCACGAAATACACAAGAAAACCGCTAAAACTTTCCATAAAACGCGAAAATTCCGACAGAATCGCCAGTCCCCTTTCGACTCCATCTTCGTTTCTCCACTTCCAAAAAAGTTTCTCCTAAGGTCAAAGGTCGGTGACCTGCCAGACCTTGACCCTGCGTTTCCTAAACGAAATCTTTTTAAATTGACTAAAAAGAATGTAGAGTTTTCAATACAGCTCGGTTAAAGCCTGACCTAGAGGCCTGAAAGAAACCGGAGCGTCTGACGGTAGAGTGTTTTTCCTCGCACTGTGACGCGAATATAGAAAATATGACTCACTTCCGCTTCAATGGTACAGTCCGATTCCCGCCAGATTTGGACACGTGCCCTGCGTTCTGATTTCGGGCCGTACCAAGTGCAGGGGTGCCAGAGTTAGTATACAGTGCAATTGTACGGAATGCAGTGCAATTTTACTAGTATACAGTGCAATTTTACGAAATACAGTGCAATCGTATTAGTATACATGTTTTTACTATTAACTGTGTAACGTTACTAGTATTAAAATTGCACTGTATACTAGTACGATTGCAGTGTATTTCGTAAAATTGCACTGTATACTAGTAAAATTGCACTGTATACTAGTACGATTGCACTGTATTTCCTAAAATTGCCCTGTATACTAGTAAAATTGCACTGTATACTAGTAAAATTGCACTGTATTCCGTAAAATTGCACTGTATTCCGTAAAATTGCACTGTATTCCCTTAAATTGCACTGTATTCCGTAAAATTGCACTGTATATTCCGGCACCCCTGAAGGGGGAGGTTGGAGTGGGGGGTATATTAAAACTGTCAATGTGTATTTGAACTTGAGGGCGTGTGTTGAGGGAGAAACAAATACTAGTAGGTTGAGCAAATAGGAGGTCTTACTCTAAAAGTCAACTTGAATTGTAAAATTGTCGATGTGCTGAATAACGATTTGAATATAACGTTGCCTTCAATTCTAATCTCCAAGCAGATCCTAGGGTGCCAAAGTCACTATCAAATTGGCCAGGCAGCATCCATTGGCCCATACGCCACCCAAGGACCCTCTCTGGCCAATGGATACTGCCTGGCCAATTTGATAGTGTCTTTTGCCACCCTAGGATCTGCTTGGAAATTTGTGTTTTGCCAGATGTGTTGTGCTGACAGACTGGGTACCAGGTACGGAGACAGCCGAGGCCACACAGGACACGCGCCAAACCCGCAAATTAACTCACACCACCTGTTCTCTCTTCTCAAAATAAGGGCTGAAAATGTCAAGAATAAACTGCAAACAAAAGAAAATTTTTAAGATAGCTATAGTATTATAATACGAATAGCATAGCATTGAAAAGACGAAGAAAGAAAAGAAATGAAAAGAAGAAGAAGAAAAGACGCACAACTTTTGTAATATAATATAACGCAATCTTTTGTTTGTTTGTTTGTTTGTTTGTTTACTTTAGTTTCTTGACTTTTCCTTGGGTTTGGAGTCTGGACTTGTACAGTGGACGTTTTTACAGTTATCATCATATCCACTATGTATTTGTATTAGGAATGCGGCGGTGCCATGTTGCAGCGACATCTATCGAAATGATTAAGGACTGCAGTTCACCTATCAGTAAGACCATCCCTTACAAAACCCATTTAGACATCATAGATATTAAATATAGCCAGGATAGGACATGCAACATGTATATTATGTGGCAAGTGGCAGGACAGAGTTCGAGGGAGTGGTCACCACATACTAGCACATGAAATGTAAAAAGAAGAAACAGTGTTACGTTTGGCTCGGGAAGGTATAAAAGTCATAAAACAGTATGCATTTGCTTTGAAAATGTTAGCCAGAACCGTGTTTTTATCCAGAACCGCGCCTTGTCCTAACTCTAACCCATTCAGGCATAGAACTAGATAGGCTACACAGTTCTGGATACGGTAGGGGTATGGACTTTGTTTAGAGCAATTGCGAACGCTTACAACGCTATAATGACGAACTGTGCCTTGACAGAACACAATACCAAAATCGTCTTTACTCAGATAATCTTTACTCCAAACACACCGCGTTTTGTAACTAACACGTACTGGCAGTCATGCATGGAAAAGAGTGAGTACCGATCTAAAGGCGGCCTTGCTAAAGTGGTCTTTGTTTAGTTAGCTATGTATACATCTCTTTTAGATGGCTTGTCAGCCGAAAATGGGTTAGAATGGGCGCCGTTCGGTGCCCAATGGGCGTTATGACAAGTTTGCTAAAGCTCTATATGCTTCTTGTTCAACAATAGACAGTGTTTAAATAGCCGCATTGTTGTATTAACGTCTTAGTGTTCTATACGTCCGTGAATAGTTTCATCAGGTTGGTAAGACACTGAGTGAGGAGATTCTTTTTACACAACCAAGTCTTTTATTCAGCCGACGTTTCGGTGACCGCCTGTCACCTCCCTCAGGGCAATTCTATATGGAATACATCTAAAGCAACGACACCTGTGCTGCAGTGTAATGTGAACCAGTCAGAATTGCCCTGAGGAAGGTGACAGAAGGTCACCGAAACGTTGGCTGAATAAAACACTTGGTTGTGTAAAAAATCGCCAGGTTAGGTTAAGACACCTGCCACACATCCAGGACATTCGCAAGACTTCTCCCGACAGCTCCCCAACCAACGTCGGCACTGGGTTGGGAGCAGCCTATATCTACATGTCAAGTAATATTGGTTTTACTTTTAGTTTGTTGCTAAAAATTCCCATCACATAACCGAAAAAGTTAAACACAAAGCTGCAAATACCAAGTAGGTACCAGTCATGTCCCATGCCATTCACTCAAATAGCAAATAACAATTCAGTCATCAATCCATCTTTATTAAACTACGTTTCCACAATGTCTAAAGATTGTACAAAGGCTTATTTAAATTTGAATTATTTTTTTTACAATGAAGCCTTCACACAAATAACCTTATACAGTAACAACTTAGCAACAAATATCTTCTGGTCAAAAACGTAATTTGTTATTTGGCTTGAGGTTTAATTTACGAAACACATAAAACATCAAATCATGGAATACAAAGCATATCAACGTATACCTTCATCAGTATGTCTTTTTTTACACTCAAATATTGGGTTAAATCTGTACATATTACATATTGCCCTGTGGAGGAATTCAATACAAACATCACACTTATTTTTACATGTCAAATGGCTGATAGAAGGTCAAGTAACGCGTTACATTCAACAGCGTTGGAATTAACTATTTGAAATTTCATTTATGGTCATGGAAGCTTCGGTTTACTCAGGTTAACTTACTGACAGGAAGTAAGGTCAAAGGTCCAAAAGGTTATCGCTTTTCCTGTCTTCAATTTCGCGCTATATTCATGTCTATTGCCTTTTTGTTGACAGTGAAAATTTACAAATTGCATACAAGTTATCAGATTTAGAAAAAAAACCTCGAAATTCGCAAAAACAAACTATCTCGTATTTTCAATGGTAGTGCTAACTAACTGTGGACAAGTCTGAGATATATACACACTTTCTGTAAACCAAAAGAAAATCCGCCTTGTTTGGTTGATATTTTATCCTGTGAACACAACATATATTTTGATGGTTGTGACACGTCAACCAGCTATGCCTCCATTTAATGCACTAACTCTACGTTCCCCATTGCAATGTTCGGGTAAACATTTCACTATCACGATCTCCATCTTCATTTGGCCAATTGGCTAACTCCCCTTGCGCTACAGAATCTGCTTGGCGATTACGTTGACGGGATGTGGCGTCATCACCGGATGTAAAGTCATGACAGCATGTGACATCATCACCGGATGTGACGTTGCCAGCGGAAGTGACGTCGTCTCAGGCGACCTTTTCCTCAGGAATGGTGGTGAGCGCGAGGAACTTGGCCTTCATGTCGAGCGTGGCCTGCACGTGATGCGTGTCCTGAACCGGCTTGATCTGGCTCTTCTGCTTGTTGGTCCGCTCCAGCTCCCGTCTGCGCATGCTCCGCAGGTTCTCCCCCTCCTTCTCCTCCTTCTCGCTGGCGGCGAGTTCGAGCTGCGCGTGCGCGACCTCCTGAAGGTCACGTTCCATGTCCTCAAGGACGGCCTTCTCCACTCGCACCTGGGGGAGGGGGAGAACATTGCAACATGATGTAACCCAACACTAGTTACCATGGTGACAGACGTCTGGTTCAGGTCATTGACCTTATTGGTTTGGAGAAGAAGAAGAAGAGGAAGAAAAAAGACACAATAACCATGAAGAAGCCAACAGTTGTTTGGAGTATCATTGGTTCAGTCAAAGACAAACCAAACAACCATGTTGTTCCCATGATGCATCACTCCATCTAACTCAAAGAAGGAAGGATGTTAATGTTAGTGCGCATGCGCATATGTATAAAAGTTAGTTATGTTAATTCAGGTCCGTTGACTATCTAGTATAGGTGACAATCGCGACATCATCAACGCATGCGCTTTATAGACCCTGGCTGATGAATCATGCGCGTGCATGTCATGTTCTACGCATGCCCAGAATCTAGAATGAATGGAAACAATCTTGAAAATCATTCCCGGCATGCATCAGGACTGCCCTATATCCCAATAACTCACCACTTCCGGATCTATTTCGTCCTCTGACGTTGATTCTATTTTCGTCTTCAGCAATCTCACCTGACACATATATGACGACAGTAGTTCAAATGTATCTGTTATAACTTAGCTGTCACCCCCCCCCCTTTTTCCAAAACAATGACAACTAGAAAGCTTTAACATTTGCAAAGCAAAGGCATAATCTTCTAACCTTCACATGGTCTAGCCTAACAAACTATTCTTACTCAAACACATTCATATATGGTGACCAGCCCCTGCAACTCTGTCCTGCCACTTGCTACATAATGTAACCCGACACCACCAGTTACCATGGTGTCACTGTCAGCGGTCTAGCCCAGGCCATTGACCTTTTTTACAAGCGGTAGTAGTAGCAGGAGAAGAAGAAGAAGAGCAAATCAGTAATCTTTGTTCTTTTTTTCTTAGCAACCAATATCTCCTTAGAAACTGCATTTTCAAGACAAGTTAAACGCAGATTAAGAAGATGAGATGAAGATAAGAACTCACCTCCTTCATCTTCCGTACAGCCTCCTCCAGTGCTCGCTCCGTCATGAAGTTTCTCCGCTCCATCAACTCGTTCTCCCGCTCCAGCCGGTGGAGTCTTTCCTCCGCTAGCATCTTCCGCCGGGCCTCGTCCTCTTTCTGAGGGAGGGTAGGAGAGCATGATTCTGGTCATACAACAAGACAATAAGTCCCATCAAGAGACTGGTTCTCAGTAATTTGTCACGGTCGATTTGTGTACATGTTCAAAGCTGTCAGTTGAATGGAAGGTAACGTCAGCACCAAGGACAGTGGAGATCAAAACATGGGCCTCAAAAGTATTTAGAGTGGTGTAGCGTATTACATAGACATTGTGAGGTTGGACAATAAAAGTGGTGTAGTGTAATGGTCTGATGTAGCGATTCGTTCATTCATAAAGAATTGTTCATTGATTCATTCATAAAGAATTGTTCATTGATTCATTCATAAAGAATTGTTCATTGATTCATTCATTTGTGTCGTAATTGCTTCACACATCCATGCATCCTTTCAGTAGTACTTTGTGAACGTGACAATTTACAATTTTTGGCATCTTCTGCGCCATACCTGTTTTTGAAGAAGTTGGACTTTCTTCGCGGCTTCTTTCGCCTCCTTCTGCGCTTCTTCATTCTCCTCCTCAAGTTTTCGCTGCTGGTTCTTAAACTTCTTCACCTCCTTGTCAACTTCGAACTTCATCTTGGCCTATAACCCGGAACCGGAAATAACGTCATAGTTATCTTGGTATATTTATTCATTTCAATGTTTGAAGCTAAAGTTGATTAATGAGTTGTTTTTCCAGTCGTTTTTTTTTTGGTCGTTTGTCTCAGAACCAAGAGGTCCCGGGTTTGAATCCTACCATGTCACCAACTCCCTTGGGAAAGGCACTTAACGCGACTTTCCTCGATCACTTTGCTACGGTGTTAATGAGTATATATGCCAGAATGGCCAGTATTATGATCGTGGGCACTTAAAGAAAAACCAAGACTCTAAACCAGGAGAAGACAACGTGAAGAGGTGAGCAATCACCTGTTTTGTCTTCCCCTCTATTTTGTAATGGAAAAGCTAAAAATTAGAAAAATAAAATACAGATATAAAAAGAAATACACTCACCTGTTGTGCGTTGAGTTTCTTCCTCAGCAGCTCGTTACTCCTTAAGAGTCTCTTACATTCCAAAGTCTTTTCCTGCAGCTTAGACTGCAGGTCCTTAATTCTCTGCGAGTTCCGATGGTCCTTCGCGACCGAGTCGTCCTTAACTCCTCTCAACTTCGCCACGGCTGCGTCCCTTTCCTTCGTGATGCTCTGTTTCTCCTGTAGAGCTTTCGTCAGCTTCTGCTCGAGATCTTGTTTGGCTCTCTCGTGTTCTTCCATCGTTGTCTTTAAGTCTGCGTACAGCCCTCGCGTCTCTTCCTCCGCGAGTTTTAAGGCGATCTTGAGTTCTTCGTTGTCCAGACCCTCGTATGGGTCGATTTCCGGTTCCTCCTCCGTCACTTCCGGTCTCCCTCCGGTTGCCATGGTAACGGCTTGGTTGTGTTTTCCTCTAGTTATAATTTGTTGTCGAAGAGCTGTAATTAAAAGGAATAATATTAATGTTACTTATCTCAAGAAGTCAACCCAGCTAGCAGGGTTCGAAATACCTGCACCTAATCTGCACCCTCCCTGTAACTTGTTATGGGTACATACATGTGTAATGTAGAATTCAAACGGTTTCTTAACAGTTACAGTTCCAAGTTTGATGGATACCCCATATTAAATCTATTTTTAGTACAGTAGGCCTGGTGGAGGCTAGCTACTAGTCCCATTTCCCTATCCTCTACCAGGCTTCGGGGGAGGCTGGAAAGAGTAGAAATTGGCCAAATAGATAGATAACATGCCAGGGGAGTTGGTCCGCTATAGAGTACAGTTTGCCTCACCGCACTCTCTAGCTGAACAATCCCCCGGTATGTTATCTCTCTATTTGGCCTATTTCTTCTCTTTCCAGCCGCCTCCCAAAGCCTGGGAGAGGCTAAGGCAGCCAGCTTACGACACCAGCGCGCTAGCCACTACTCCAAAAGGTCCGGGCCCATTAGAATGGATCTGTTAGCGGCGCTCGAACCCCACTGTTACCCTACTCCCTTTTTTCGTTTTCGAAAGCTAATCCTCTAACAACAACAGTCCGCTCCCCCGGTGCGGGTCAGGCCCACCTGCCAGTTTAGGCGTCTTTTCTCTCAAGTGCTCCTTCAGAAGCTCCTTGAGAAACGTCTCAAGACCCTTTCTGAAGTAACCAGCGCCAAGCCGAGCCGCTCAAGTGGGAAGGATTAATGTGGGGGGAGAACAACATTCGGATTCACACGGGAAAGTTCTTATGTCAAATATACGTATGGTTGTTTAAAGTTAAAACTTTTGGTCCAACACAAAAAAATTCTCTCACCTACAGCTTTTGACTAGTCACTCTGGTCTTCCTCAGTAGAATGACCAAGTGAGGCTGTTCTTGGATTTGTATTTAGATTTTATCTTTTTATTATCTTTAGAGAAAGGAAAAGGACAATGTGAGGTTACACTCAAGTTTAACTGTTACAACTGATTTAAGTTATAACTTATTTTAGCGCCAAACCGAGCCGCTCAAGTGGGGAGGATTAATGTGGGGGGAGAACAGCATTCGGTTTCACACGGGAACATTCTCACGTTAAATCTATGTTATGGTTTTACTTGGATTTCTACCTAGAATTTACATAACTGTATATCTCGTTCCAGTCCACCACACCATCCGACTACAATATTAGTAAGATGCAGGCCTAGTGTTTTTGTGTTTCATGCCCTATTCGTTTATCCGTATGTATGCAATTGCGCGCGTTTTTTCCGTGTATCCATAAAATGTAAAGACGACGCAATTCAGGAGCACTATGTACTCCTGCTTTGTTGATTGATTTGAATAAAATTGAAATATTTATTTTCTAAACTTAAAGTTTGGACAAAGGAGAATGCCAATGTAATGTTACAATCAAGTTACAAGGTATTTTATAACAACAATATTGATAGAGTGATTTGTACAGATTTTAACTTTAATAGTCCCAACTATGGTTAAGGATATAGAATAACCTTCACAGTTCGGCAAAATACACAACTATACGACAAACCACACAACTATCCCAAGAATGCGCTCAATTTGTGACCGTATGACGTGTGAACCATTAGTAACACCTCGTTGTAACAAAGCTTGGTGACATACTAGTACGTGTAGGAATCACGGACCATTTAGTTCGTATGTATAATGGACACGTCACGCCTTGAAATGCACTTCATGCACGACTGATCTTTATTCTAGCAGAGCAAAAGTTGCTAAAAACAACAGTTACTAAAGCAACTGGATATGATTTTGGAAACGGTCAGACGTTGCTCCAGTTGCTTGAGTAACTGTTTTTTTGCAGTGATTATTACCTGGATGTCTAACCTTTACCGACGCAGCATTGAGTTAGTATTGAATGCGTATCACATATAAACAACAATGTACAGCATGAAAGTAGCCCACAGTAAAGATACGGAAATGCCGCACTATCAAAGCCCATACGGGGAACGCAACAACAGAAAATATTGACTGAAAAAACATCGCCAAACTCCCACGCGGTGCCTACTTAAGGCGGGCGGAGGAAAAGTAGTCTCAACCAGGCTCCTTTGCAGGCTGAATGAATAGTAGAAATTGGCCTAAAAAGAATGTAGCTGGCCAGGAGAGCTGGCCGGCTATAGAGGGTCCAGTTTGCCTGGCCAGCTACATTCTTTTTAGGCCAATTTCTACTATTCATTCAGCCTGCAAAGGAGTCTGGTGGAGACTACCCAAGAATAGGGACCCAAGAGCAACTATGACAGACAGGATGCTATCAACAATTTGTAAAGCGATGCACTCAACATACTCCTTGGGAAAGGCACTTGACACGACTTTCCTCACTTAACTCCAGTGAAAATGAGTATTGTCGTTGGTGGCGACATACATAAGTTGATATAACTTGAGTGTGCTGTCTAGTCACGAAATGTTGGAACAAATAGAAAACCTCTACGGTAACATCCTACACTACAAGACTGTTTACAAAGCCCTGCTACTTAAGTTTCCATCAGTGCTTCTCCAACAGACGTTAACGGTAGAAATTACAACATAACTCACCCGCGTGCAGACAGACAGCCGTCTGTACCTTACAGTATACTCTTACGTTCCGTCATGGGAAAGGCATTAAGCAACATATACAGCTAGTATAGGGGGTGCCAAAGAATTCATTTTAGTTGTACGGAATTCATACAAATTTTACAGAATCCATACGATGCATTACTTGGAAACATACGATCCTTTGGTGATCCAGGCGCAGGTTACCAAATTAGTAAGGATCGTATGTATTCCGTAAAATTCGTATGTTTCTGATAATGGATGTCCTTATGTCCTACCTGGGCCGCGATTACGTTCGATACGGGCGTTCCGGCCCGTGTGATAACTAGCGGTACAGCCCGGGGGTTCTTTACGCGTTGGGCCCGGGGCTTCCAAATGCTCCGTGGAACGATTCGAACGCGTTTCGGCCTAACCGCGTGCACCGATTTCGAAATTCGAATACAAAATTCGGACGTTGGAATTGATGTTGTCGCATTTTTTGGGTTTAGGGACACCAAATTTTCGCTCATTTCGCATTGAAAGGCGCGTTTTCTTGGGTGGGTATGACATAAATAAAATACAACACGGTGTATTCCGCATCACCCTCGG